TAGAATTGACTCTAGGATTTTTACAAATGGTAGAAATATTTTGAGACAACCTAGAAATGAGTCTAGGAATTTAGTTAATAATTCTATGAATAATGATTTTAGATCACCTAGAAAGTTTTTGGCTCAACCTAGGCATATGCATAATCCAAACGTAGTATGCCATTATTGTTCTAAGATAGGACACATAGCTCCCGTTTGTTTTGCTAAACATAGGGACACTTCTTATAATTATGATTATGATTTTTATTTGCTTAACCTCCAAGGACCCAAAAGCTATTGGGTACCTCAATGGTATTACTAGATGCACACAAGGGTGTGCTTGAAGACTACAAACTTGTAGTGGATGCTCCAAGCACGAAACCCAATGAACCGCATCAAGGGGGAAGCTCGTTTTACGACATTGTTGACAATTGATGCTCTAGGACATTTTCAAACATCGATGTTCAGTATCAAACATCAATGTTCAAGGAGTACTTTTTTTTTACAATTTTTTAAGTGCTTTTTGCTAATGTCAAAAGGGGGAAGATATAAAGGTTATGCATAGATTGAGGGGAAACTTTTTCTAAGGCACAATTTTTTTAAAAATATTAACTCTTGTTCAAAACATAAACCTTGTTGCATTTGTTAAGGGGAAACATCTCTCAAAAGTCTCAATATTTTCAAAGTCTCAAAACAATCCTCCTACGCATAACCCCGTCTTGTTTGCCATTATCAAAAAGGGGGAAATTGTTGAAACACGGGTTTATCGCTTTTTCGAACTAAAGCCGTGTTCGTTTTTATGACAGGTTTTGATAATGCCAAACCGCCGTGAACAAGACAAGTTGTTAAATGTACAAGGCGAGAAATAAATATAAGAAGAAAGAAAGAGAACAAGAGCTAAAAGAGACCGAGAACGAAGACCGTAGTCTTTAACATCGTTGAGTCGGTCACAATGAAATCAAGACCGACCCAAGCTTTGCACTTTGGCTCTTTAGGCTAAAACATTTTTTATTGCATTTTACATATCATCAAAATTATTTTCAAACATGCTCAAACATATTAAAAACACATGGTGTTCACCCAAACCAAAAACCAAGCCTTCCGGGGTTCGGCTTTCGGAAACCGGCGTTCGGCATTCGGTTATTTTTTTGGCGTCCGAACCAACCAAGTGGTTTTCATTTTTTTATGATTGGTTTTTACTTCTGGGAACATTTAAATAGTTTTCCATCAAAAATACTTCAAAAACCACCTTTCGTTTTTTGTCGTTTGATAAAAACCATGCGAAACGGCACAAACTTCGCTAGCCGTGGTTTTTACTTAAATGAAGTGGTTTTCAAGTCTTTTTGTGTGGGAATTGTTTTTTAATGCATTTAAATGGTTCTCCAATCAAAACATCATGAAAACCACCTTTCGGTTTTGTCTTTTGGTAAAAACCACTCGTGTACGACGTTGACTTGGTCAACCGTGGTTTTTACCTTATCGACGTGGTTTTCAACTTACAAAGCTTGTTTTGACATCACAATACATTAAATAAGTGTTTTAAATACTTAGTTTTTACTTTGGAGAACTTTGCATTTTTTGGTCGGGTTTTAGCGCCGGTCAGCTAAGCCATGGTTCTGGGCTAGCCATCTACCCAGCGATGGTAGATATCACCCATCCATGGGTAAGTGATCCCGGAATTCCAGAATCATTCTACCCAGCGATGGGAGATATTACCCAGCGATGGGTAAGCAGCCTTCAGCCCAACTGATTTCCAGAACCATGCCAAACAGCGATGGGAAGTTCTACCCATCGCTGTTTAAACCTTGGTCCAACATTTTCACAAGGCAGAATGCCCTTACCCAGCAATGGGAACCTTTACCCATCGATGGGAACCCAGCTATGGAAGGGCATACCCATGGCTGGTTAGGCATGACCGTTGTGAGTCATTTAAGGCTTATTCTTTCCTTGTTTGAAAGTCAATCTCCCACCCAGCAATGGGAAGCATTTACCCATCGATGGGTAGGTGACCATTGGCTTCAAAACTGAAGGAAAATTGGCTTACCAGCGATGGGTAAGTCCAAACATCGATGGGAAGCCAATATCCTGCAGGTCCCAAATTTATTCAATCCCATAAATCAAGCCAATCAACCCTTAAATGTTTTGATCCGTTGGAGCCTACTTTAGCACTATAAAAAGGGGTGTTTGGGTCTGCTTTAAACATCAATTCACTTCACATTATTCATATTACCATTCCATTCAAACAACATCATTTTCCATAGCTTTCTAGAGCCAATTTGTGAAGTTTGAGTTATTCTTGAGCGTATATAGTTTACTCAACATCTACTCTTAAAGAGAGTCTTGTTCTTGAGTGTTATTAGTGTTGTAAACACGTTTAGGGAAGCTTGTTTCCCTTGGTTGTACGAAGGAAAGGTATTTTCCTTCGGGTTGAAGTCTTGGAGTGCGGTATCTCCAAGCAAGTGTATTGAGGCTCGTGGGACTCGAGTTCTCAGGTTGTAACGGTTTGTTAAGCACCCGTAAGCTTAACGGAAGTAGTGTAGCTCGAGAGAGTCTCTCGGGAGACTGCACTAGCCACACATTGTGGTGAACCAGTATAAATCTTGGTGTGCTCCCTTTACTCCTTTTTATTCCGCTCTTTACTTTATCCCTGCGATTTTTATTCCGCGAAAATTTATAAACATTCTCGTGCCTCACTATTTACCCCCCCCCCCCTCTAGTGAAGGGCACTTATTCTAACAATAACGACTCTGAACGAAGGCGGCGACGATGGAGATTGTTCTGGAAAATACGATGCTGGGTTGGATGGAGATGGAGATGCAAAACAATTAAAGAAGATAACGTTAACGTATGATGGCGTTAAAAGGAAGAAAAATAAATTAATTTTGGATTGGGGCCACTATAAAATTTACAAGGAAGAAAAATAAATTAATATTGAAAATATCTGACAAGATAAATTTATTTTTATGTAAATTTGCAAAACTACCCACCACTTTCCATTTTTACTTTTTTCAAAATAAGGATTTATATAATGATTAGTACATATGCTTCATAAGTAACCTGAAACTTCTATTTTTGAAAAACTATCATTTATAAAGAACATCGATTAAAATTTTGTTCCTAAGTGATGTTGAATAATAGTAATAATAATGATGATGACAATGGTATTTTAATGATGATTAAAATATAACAATTTTATAGTGGATTAAAATATACATAAGAAAGGCATTATGGACCAAAGCTTTTATTCTAAACAGTTATGTATAAAAAATAAAAAATTTATTTATAACGCATGCCAAAAAAAGTACAAAAAACATTTGTACTTTTTCATGAGATAAATATTAGTATAATTTTATGTTAGATATTACATATACAGATAAAGATAGATCATCATTGACTATAGCCACACATAATCAAACCCATTTAAGAAGTACTCCCTCCGTCCCGGAAAACATGAGAGTTTTGATTTTGAAGAGAGATTTAAGGGGAGTGTATTTTGGTATTGAATTTCCAAAAATGTCCTTTGATGTGATGGGTAAAAGTATGATTTGATGGATAAATTATTAGTAAAAAGGTATGATGTGATAGGTAGGGTACGAAAAAGTAAGGGGTAAAAGTGACTTTTTAATAGAAATGAGAAGTGTTTTTGGGGATAGATGAAAAAAGAAAGGAGAAATATTTTCAGGTACGGAGGGAGTAATATATATGCTATGTGATGTGACACATGGTATTTGTATTTCGAATTAAATATTTTACATTTCCAATACATTTTTTCTAAAACCTTATCTATACAGTGCTTCAAGCAGATAACAATTTTACAGTAAATTCATCAAGCTTTTGTGTGCATAATAGACAAAACATAATTGACTCGTAGGTGCTACCATCAATTCATCAAAATTGTGGTCATATTATAAAGTTTATACGTTAACGAAGAGTAACATTGCATTCATCAATGCCCTCTTGCACGGATAGAGACACAAGCTTTTTCTGATGGGATACTCAATGAAGATGGAAAGCATGGAAAAGTGATTGATGGAACAAGTGACGTTGATATTCTACCTGAATTCTTGATTCTAGACATAAGTTATCTCCTCAAGAATAACTTATGAAAATAAAACTAAATGTTTTGGAATCCTAAACCATAAAATAGTTTTAAAGCGGGGGGAGGGTGTGGGGGGGAATGTTATCAGTGTTATTGTTGGTTTTGTGAAATCAAGTCGGGGAAAAGGTTTATATATCCCATATGAATTTGGCACCATTCGGTGTAGGACTACCCTGAAGTTCCAAAGAAGTCAATTCCAAATGGATTTATGTTTTGCAATGACATTGAACAAAAATCAAGGTCGAATTTTGTCATTTGTTGGATTATTTTAACCAAGTCAGTGTTCTCTCATGATCAATTTTATGTTTCTATTTCATAAGTGAATACAAAGACACGATTAAAAATATTTTTTATACATGAAAATGAAAAGTGAAAACACTTACAACCGTACCAAAAATATTTTACACCCTGAGGTTTTTTTAAAAAAATTTAGTATTAGAAGAAACTATGTTATGTACTTTGTCTTTTTAAAAGAAATTTAGTATTAAAATTTGTGAGAAATATAATATCTTTATTTCAAAAAAATATTGTATTGAAAAAATTTCAGAATCAAAATTTTTTTTTGTTCAACCTCGTGGATGGCACGGGTCAAAATGTTAGTTGATGGTGTAAATATAGCTGGGCGGGTTAACCGGGTTTAACCTGGACACTCGACCCGTAATATAAAACACACAACAAGAACACAAAGTATGACCTAGACCGGATAAATCTCCTCAGTCCGAAATATATTTCTTACTCTGTCTCAAGAGTGTACTAGTTTTTAGTGAGAGAAAAGAATGGATCCCCTCCTCCATCCTCTTTGTCCCCTAGGCGTATGAACGCCGAATCTCGGGTCTTGCTGGGTTTGGCTATAGCCTTACCCTTCCTTCTGCGGGCTGCCTCTTGCTCCGCCTCGTCAACTTCATAGATATTCAATGGTGCTGCTTCGTTCATGGTCCCCGTCAAATTCACTGGACGTATAGGGACCATCCTAGGGATGAATGTCGACGGGGTCGACACCGGAGGTACCATTGAACTCATGATTGGTGGCATCATGTCCAGATAGGCAAATGGCATGAAGCCCCCTGCTTGTTGCATCATGGCCATCACTTGTTGATAGCCCTGCAGAGCTTGAGCATTTGCCGGGTCAGCAGCAAATTGAGCCAAGCTTGTCGGATATGGCGTGAATGCCCCCCCAGGCGTTGTTATTGAGCCTAGGAACATTGTTGTCGTTGGCGCACGAGTAGGGGTGGACATGATTGGGATCATGCCAACTGATCCTACCGTGGTGATTGGGGCAAAGGTCGTCTCCATGCTCGTCATCATCAGTGGGATGGCAGGAGTGCTTTCAC